AAAAAAAAAAAAAAAAAAAGAGATTTTTGCCTGTTTTTACCAAACCTTTATTGCCTTCCTCCTCCATTATTCATTTTATGAATTCTGGGAAGTGACACTCTACTTAAGCCAAATTATCTTCCCAGTCACAGGCAAATGAAGTCAGCTTGATGGACAGACTTTAGCTAGTGAGACTTGATTGTGCCCAAAGAGAAACTTTTACTAATACATAGATCCTATATAGGATAGCACTTGCCAAATCCTCAGAGGTCAACTTTCATATGCTTTTTTGTTACAACATACACCTTGATTGTAAAAAATCCATTTTTATGTATTTATATTCTCAAAATAGAATAACTTTTTTGCTACTGATTATAAATGCAGTACATGCATACTATAAAAAAGCAAACACTTCAAAATTGCATTAAATATAAATAAAAATTCCCTAATAATCACACTCCTCAAAGCTACTCACTGCTTGTACTTTGGTGAATACCCTTCCAAACTTTTATGTATAAACATATTTTTTACATAAGTTTTTAATTTAAAAGGAATCACCACTGTGTTATAACTTGCTTAATTCATTTAACATTATATTACAAGTACCTTCCCATGTCAATTATTAAGATTTTTCTTTCTTCTTAACAACTGCATCATGCACTGTATAAATATGACAATTTTTTTCTTTTTGAGTCATAGTCTCACTCTGTTGCCCAGGCAGTCACGACCTGCTGGGCTCAGGCAATCCTTCCACCTCAGTCTTTCAAGTAGCTGGAACTACAGAACGCGCCATCATGCCTGGCTAAGTTTTTGATTTATTGTAGAAACAAAGTCTCACCAAGTTGTCCAGGCTGGTCTTGAACCCCTAGACTCAGGCAATCCTCTCGTCTCTGCCTCCCAAAGTGCTGGGATTATAAGAGTGAGCCACTGTGCCCAGCGACAAAAAAAATTTTTAAACAATATTCTGGGAAAAACATGCTGTTTCTCTCCTACTGTGGCTTCACAATATCTCCGACACCAGATGTGAGAGTTTTTTCCACACCAAGTGATTTTCCAGTGGACAACAATTGGGTGTCCTATAACTCAATTCAGTTCTGACACTATCTGCAGAAAGTGTCAGATCCCACAGGACAGTCCCACAAGACAGTTCCCCTTCAGATCTAATCCCAAATCTCAGGTTTTGACCTGTGCTTCTGACCACTGATTACCACAGGGCTCCCACCACCCCTTCCCTGGGTTCGATAATTTGCTAAGATGGTTCATAGAAAATACTTTATTCCTCCTGCCATCAACATCTCCATGTATCGAGTCCTGTTCTTAGTGTTCCAATGTCCCATCCTGAAGCTGAAGAAACTGCCCTGGGTGCACAAGCCATCGGCCATGATGGTGTATGCCCTGGTGGTGGTGTCTTACTTCCTCAACATCGGAGGGATAATGTATGTTATTGTTGAACCTCCAAGTGTTGGCTCTATGATTGATGAATGTGGGCATCAGAGGCCAGTAGCTTTCTTGGTCTACAGAGTGAGTAGAGAATATATTATGGAAGGACTTGCATCCAGCTTCCTGTTTACAATGGGAAGTTTGGGTTTCATAATCCTTGACTGATCCAATGTACCAAATATTTCAGAACTCAGTAGATTTCTTCTTCTATTCATTGAATTTGTCTGTGTCCTATTGAGTTTTTTCATGGCTAGAGTATTCATGAGGATGAATTGCCGCTGGCTGTGGTGGCTCATACCTGTAATTCCAGTACTTTGGGAGGTCAAGGGGCATCTGATGGGTTAGAGTGCCTTTTGAGAAGAAATCTATGGGAACTGGATTTGCTCCTGATAATGAAGTTTTAAAGGTTGTACCAATCGTCTAATATGAAATGTGGAAAAGAATGAAGAGCAGCAAAAAATGAAATATCTAATGGAAGCATAGGAAGGAAGCGTATGAAAGCTTGGACTAGAACTTCTTCTTGGTGTCAAAGAGACAAGTTTATCACAGTATTTTTTCCTGCTGATCATACTGACATAGCAATGATGTTAAGTGGCATTTTCTTCTTAGTTTTTCATTCCTTTTTTTTTGAGTTGGAGTCTCACTCTGTCGCCCAGACTGGAGTGCAGTGGCACGCTCCCGGCCACCGCAGCCTCGACCTGCGGG